CCATCCAGCTGACCCTACCAAAACTGCCACCGTTTTTACCCAATCTTTGAAATTACACAAACACTCCTCCAGACCTTTCTAAAATTACATATTTGTACCCCTAAAGTTTTTGAAATTACACTTTGGGCCCCAAGTTCAAAAATTACAGTTTTGCTCTAAAAGTTTCTGAAATTACAAATCAACCACAGAATTTTCAAAAATTATAGTTTGAATCAAATTTTTTTACAACTTTTCATATTACTTCTTCAATCAAAATGGTCACCAATGCCAAATTACTTGTCAAACTTGAAGCCCGTGACGCTAAGCTCGATTCGCTCCAAGCATCAATGGGTTCACTCCACACATCAATGAAATATACACATGAAGATGTACACAAGTTGGCTGCCATGTCTGAAGTTAAGCTCCCAAATATGAGCCTCGCGAACAAGGTAGATTTTGATTCACCTATCGATTGTCAACAAATAGTTGAACAAGCTCTGCCCCAAGAAGTTCCTCCACAACTACAAGCTCCAATTCAATTGACTGATGAACTGAAATTAATACCGTTGATGAGCCTAAAAGTTCTCCCCTCATCATAGATTAATTATTTTTGATATGTTGATTTCAAAATATGTTCTTACGAAAGAAATTAAAGGAATTTTAAAGGGTACTACTACAGATGGAGTTGATATTTTGTCTCCACTGATTTATATGCTTCCTTCTCCTATAATAGTGTATGTGAACATGATTGTGAAGAATGTAACACATAAAAGAGATTGTTTTCTATTATGGGGATTTACAATGCTATTTTCTTGGAACACAAGCTTCTTCACATCTCTTGGAGTCCTGTGGCTCCTGCCTTTACAAGTTTTCGAAGAAGAGTTTTTTTCAGTCGGGAAGAATTGATAGAGATCGAAAAAAGATTGGATGAGTTTAAATTAAAAAATTGAATTTTATTATTTATTTTGCTATTATTATATTAGTTAGGGAGTATTTATTTGACGAGAAGTATTAATTAGAGTTTGATTAGGAAATTATTATAGAGTTTTAGTAGGATAGAGATTTGAGAGTTTGATTATAAAACTCTTTTAAAATTTTAATAGGAGAATAATTTTTATTTTGGTAGGGAACTTAGCCTACAAATATCAATATAATCCTCACTATTTTTATGAGAGAGTAATATAATAAAAACTTATTTCTTTGTGGAGAATTTTGTGTGTTTCTTGACTGATTCCTTGCAAGGATGAGGTAAATCCCTTCCACCCCTCTCTCTGTTCTACTTCTTTCTATTATCTTCTTTCTTCTTCTTCTTCTTCCGTCCTACATCAACTTTCTTCTTGACACTTTGAAAAGTCATGGCCTTTTCTGAATGGAAATCTTTTCTCACTCTATGTTCTTCGGCTAGCAGACAATTCGAAATGGGATATATGTGATAGCTAGTGTCCCCTAATTGTCAATTTACGCTGTTTGATATTTGGTTTTTTATTTAAGTTTCTAAATTTTTGGCCCCAGTTGTTTTGTTTTGTGTGTTTCAATGACTTTCAAGTAAAGCCCCCCTCTGATCTTTTCAGTTCTTTTTCTTCTCTTTGGGATGTATAATCTCAAAGTATTGCTTCTATTTTCATATGTTATGGTTTACAAACCAGCTTATCACAGTCCGCACTGTAACCCCTTTTTACATTCATAACTTACTTGAAGATGACGCAGCTAGAGTGTGAAACTCATGTTCATTGGCAAGTTTGGGCTTTGTTGGCCGCTGAACCATTGAATATATGGTAGTGAAATGGCTTGATTCATTTTGGCAAACCTGCTGCCTCAATCTGGTGGTCTGTGTTTGGTCTTTCAACCATATTTTTAGCTTAGGTCTTAAATTATGTAATCATTACGTGTGAGTAGAAAACAATGTCAAAGCAATGTCTGATATATTGAGTACATTGTATTATTGTAATCATTATGTATAAGTAGAAAACAAGTGTTAATAGAAATTGTCTAGATGAAGCTTGGACATCATATCATGGGAATGAATTATATTTGTGTTACAATCTTATTGTTTTATTCATTTTGAGAGCCGTTTAGTATGAAGGGGTTGTGTGCTGAAAATAATCCTTAAAGTGTGTGCCTCCAGGGATGAATCAGTCGTAAGGGATCCATCCCACCTTGCAAGTGGTGCGAGCTTGAGTATCTCCCAAAGCAATCGTTTCCCACCAAAGAGAGCTTATATCTCACATCAAATAATTAGGACCACCCAAGGTTGATTTATATGCTTAAGGAGTTTTTCCACTTATTGTTAGTTGATTGTGTGTTAGATGCTCAAACATTGTATCAGAATTGTGTCTTAGGTGAATAGTGGACCAAGTCTCTTACCCGTTTGAATTTTTCGATATTCATGTTTGTTTGGTCGGTAGCTCCACTTCCGAGGCTGAATCACACATGAGGGAAGGTGTTTCTCCCCTCTTCAACAATTGGTTTTGGGTTGGATGCTCTAGCACTCCATCCCTCTAAGTTTGTATTAGTGACACAAGGGGAAAAAATTCTCAAAGTATTTGGGGCCCATGTAAGTTATCTAGGGGTTTTGTAGTCTTCCTTGTTTCTTTATGGCATTTTGTCTGCTGCTTTCTTTAGGTCCACATGTATGTGCTTGCACCTCTTCCCACCAACAGAAAAAAATGCAGAAAAAGAAAAAATGGAACTCTCTCTCTCTCTCTCTCTCTATATATATATATATATATATATATATTTGGCAGTTTCCGCATGTCCACAGCTTAAGTTGCTCAAGTAGGTTTCAATGGTAGATAAGTGATGTATCATTTTCCAGTTCAGTAATTCTTGAATTCAGTCTACTACTTTTTTTTCTCAAGCTTCTGCCCGATAAGTTGCTACCGTTTCTCAAACTAACTTGGCAATGATGGAGTAGCTACTTTCTTTCCTATTGTTGCTTCAGGAAATTAGTTCCAAACTAGAACATGTAGGAGTTTCGATGAGATTCAATTGATCAACCTCTAGAAACCCTTCAACTAGCACTGGACGCTGGCCAGAACTTGTGTGGGGTGTGTGTGTGTTTGTTGATAATGTAAATAATGAATGCTGAGGTATTTGTGCAGGCAAATGAGTACCAAGCTCCTGGATCAGGTAGGGCACGAAGGGATGCTGCAGCTCGTGCAATGCAGGGTTGGCATGTCCAGCGTCTTTTTGGTTACAGTGAGGTTGGTGAGCCAGTCATCAAGGTCCGTTCACAAAAGTTTTTACACTTTTTGTAATATTTATTTTAGTTCAACCATGTTTTTATTAGTTACGTAATATTTACCCTTTTCATATATTAATTGTTGGATAGGACAAGAACTTGAATCAGATGCCTAAGCGTGAAAAGAATCTCAAAAGCATTGGTATGCTCCTCTCCATATTAGTGTTTTAAAATTTAAATATCTGCACATGACATATGTATTCTCAATGAAAGATGTTTCTCACGGATGGATATCACAAATGAATTTTACTAGCGGTCCTTGAAATAGCATTTAAGAAAAATCATTTGATGCTGCATATTTCGTCTGTAATTTCGTATCTGTCTATCTATTTATACTATTTGTAAATGTCAGGATATGTAAAAAAATTTTGATTTTCTATTTTATCCATATTTAATAATGTTAAGTCAATCATACCCCATGTATCCTTATTAATGTCATCTTTTTTCCTTCCATGTTCTTTCAAAACTAACTCTTCTTATCATATAACATTAGGTTTCTAGCCATTCACTCTACTTATTCTTATAGTTTTAGGTCTTGAATTACAATAATAACTCTAATAACTCAAATAACTGTATAATACATGTATAAATGTATAACTAGGCTTAATTAACAAAAAAATACTATTTAAATATGTTCACAACATACGTTGTGTATTACTAGCCTAATTTTAAAAAATCAATTATATCCTTATAACCTTCATATAATTTTTGTTTTTATACGTAATTTGACTTTAAAGTTCTTTTGAACTCTTTTATAAGTAGCATTTGACTTCTAAATTCTTTTGGACTCCTTTATAAGTATTATACTTGCATAAAATTTTTTGTATATATGTCTATATCTATATGAAGAAGCAAAGACGAATCTATATTGTATTGTTATATACATATGGTTATTAAATTAGATTCTAAGATCAAATATATGTTATATTTAATTTTTTTTAATGATTAGATTTAACAAGAAATAAAATATAGATTAATTGATTGGTACAAAATTTATATTTTCATAGATTCAATAAAAAAATATTATTTAAATTATTTACGTGCAATGCATGCCGTACATTGCTAGTATAACTAAGAAGCATCTATAAAATCTGCTACTGAATGATCCTCAATTTGCATTTGGTCTATTGACACAGGTTCACTTAAACACAAGAGACCAAGTGAAGTGGAGCATGCTGTTAAAGCTGCAAGAACTGAAACTTCTAAGCAGTTAAGGCTTGATCATGTCTATTCTTTTTCTTCTTCTCCCTTCAAATTATAATTGTCTATCTGTGAATAAAGTGAAAATTAGTTTGGGCAGAAAATTTGAGTCTTAAATCTCTCCAAGATCAATAAAGCCTCAAATGTTGTGGTTGGTGTTGGGTCTCTTTGTAGATTACGTTTCCAACTTTCCAGTGTCTTTGGGAGACAAAACTTTGCAGGAAATCTCTGTGGAGTGTGAATTCCTATTCAAAGTGTATCAAAGTTAGGTTTGTCTGTCCCCCTGGCTTAAAAGTAAAGGAGAGAAGGACCTTCATGCACTGAGCACATTTTTGCCCTCTTTTGCATGTCCTGGTTGCCCTTCAAAGTTGTCCTCATATGCATAATTTCACTCCACATGTGGTCCTAGCTTCTGACTCAACATGTGTCCTTGGTCACCAGCCCACGCACATTCACACATGAGACTAAGTGTTCTTTGTGGTAGTTCCTGGCATAGCCATCGAGCCTGGGAGATGATTTTACTTGGTGGTTTCCCATAAAGTTCTCTTTGAAAGCATTTTTCTGCATTTTTGCTGATGTAGTGGTTCCTATGATTGCAACCTTACTGCATACCTGAAACAAATGTCTTCTCTGCTCCTTTTTGACCATTTCTCATCCTGCCAATAGTTTTTGGCTTTTGCACTGTCTTTGGTTCTTCTGTCTCCTTCTTCAGTTTTGGAGGTTACTGGTGCTATAACGAATGAGGCTCTTATTTTTGTTTTTTTTTGAGTTTATATTTTGGGTAAATATTTTTTGTTTTGGTTATTATTTATCTATACTTTAATAAAAGGAGAGGAGAGATTTGGTGTCCACTTAATGGGATCCAAAAAACATATTGGTCATTTTTTTGAAAACAACTATATTTAATCTCATTTTATGAGTTTGAATTTAGAAAGACCCAAAAATTGTCATACACGTGTGAACTCTCCTTATCTATCTCAACTTCTCAAGATTTTATTTATGTCAACCTCACTATCCCACTTTAGAGTCCCAATTACTCTAAAATTGCCACTGCCAATGTATCTCTCTCTCTCTCTCTCTCTCTCACTCATGCACATACCCGCCTTGAACATTCCCCATCTCTCCCCACCACTTCACATCTCAATCTTTCCCCTCCACCTCTCTCTCATTCCCTCATTCTTCATGTATAAGGCATTGGGACTAAAAAAATCCTATTACATTCAGCACAAATATTAATTTGCACATGCATCACATGTGCCTCATAAGCTAATTGCTAATTACAAACTCAAGAAATCTCATACTTTCTGGATGATATATTTGCTTTTCTTAGATATTTAGTTTGGTTAATTTTTTGCATTGTCTATTATTTGTCTGGTCAATTTAATGAGCATGGTAGCAATGACTCTGTGTGGAAGTGTTTGGGGGCAAGCATCAAAATTTTGTTTCGAAACGGTCAAGACGTCCAATACGTTTTTGTTTTCAAGGAGATCGAAACATATCATTGATAAAATCGAAATTCTAATATTTTGTGGTGTTTCATAATGTTTTGTTATATTTCATTGTATTTGCACAATTGTTTCAAAATGTTTCAAGGTATTTCAAGATATTTTGGTATATTTCGGTCAATATATTGAAAAAATAATTTTTAAATTTTTATTTTTTTTTCAAAACGAGTCGAAACATTTCCGAAACACGTCGCATTTTTGTTTTATTGATAATTGAAACAATACACCGAAACAATATTTTGATCCTTAGTTTGGGGGCTCTATTTTGTTGGCGGCAGTTGGGGCCTATTTTGCACAAACTTGGATTCTTGTTATGGACACCCCATCACATGGAGTCATGGACTCGCCACAAGATAGAAAATTTTGAAAAACTAATGCACATGCATACAAGGAGCACACCCATATTTTATTGTAAACATAATTTAGAAATTTTATTTGTCTTGTCAAATTTCAATGTTGGATATTTAAAGGTGGCAATCTTAACCCATTAACTATTAACCTGCCCGACTTGCCCATTAATAAATGGGTTGGGTATCTATATTAATTAATGCGGGTTCTAAATGTATAGCTGCATACCATATACATCATTTGTCAAGTATGCAGCTGTTGCTCCTACCTAATTCTCTGTCTCCCTCTCTCGCGCACACAACTTCAGAGTATTTATTGTTTTCTCCTGCACAGATCTTTGGTGTTTGCTGTGTTTTGTGTTTTGTCCATTTTTGGCACTGTCAATTTCTGTTGAAAAAGTTGTCACCTGTTCCATGTCCAGCATGTTTTTGTGTTGAATGTGTTTCACATCGAACATGGACATGGCTTCTCTTAAAGATGTGCATGTTTCGTAGGTTTGAGTGTTTCAGTCCATTTCTTGGGTTAGCAATCTTTATTTTGTTTGGGAGCAAAATGCTGGTGTTAATACCCTAAATGTTAGGCTGATTTTTGGTTCTCTATGTATTTCTTGCATAACTAGCTTTTTGTTTAGTTTCTCCTCCCCTTGTGTGTTCTTTCCAATGCTTTTAATACAGTTCTAAACTGTTTTTTCATTTGCTAGATTGGTCGCGACAGTTGTTGATGTTGGCCCTCCTGCTGATTGGGTGAAAATCAATGTGCGCGAAACGGTAAGTTTCTTTTGGAATCAGCCTACTTGAAATATTACACAATTATTATGTTAATTCATCTGAGTTTTAAATAGTTCCATTTTTATGCCAGAAAGATTGCTTTGAGGTTTATGCCCTAGTTCCTGGGCTTCTGCGTGAGGAGGTATGTACCTTTAAGCTACTTTTATATTTTTTTCTCTCTTGCTTCATAGATTGTTTATGGTGCTATAATATTTTCCCTGGGAAAATACTAGATAAGTCCTACTTTTCGTAATAAAAAACCCTTGAGCTCTATCAGACAATCAAGTCCTATTCTTCATAGTGTCCAAATTAGTTCAATACCTCATCAATTATATCTTTATTCTGATTTTACCCTTTTTCCTTAAACCATCAATTACACTTTTTTTTTCATAATTTCTTCATTAAACAACTACACTTTTGGTCATAATTCTTTGATTGATTTTAACATATTCAAAAATAAACTCTAATGCTCTCTCTAAATAAATATATGATTATATAAGGATTACTTATTTTTGTTAATCATCTTACTAATGAAATGGACTATAGTTCATATAATTCTTCGAACTTTCCATAATTTTTTTAGACACCCAATCATTTAGTGATTTACGTGAAAAGATTTATTTGTTTATTTTTTAATTCTTATTTACTTTGTATTTATTTCATTTTATGATTTTTCATATGATGGCAGTTTCGTAATTAAAATCTAATGCCCAAAAGAGGGATGTTAATAGAATTAGGACTTTTTTGAAATTATGTTGAAAAGGTAGGACTTAGTTGTGCTACTATAAAATTGATATGACCCAATGGTATTATGTCATGAAAAGTAGAGGGCTCAATTGGTTATTTTCCCTATTTATTTTCACAATCAAATTGATATTGTATATTTCAGACATATAGTTTGATGGTGTATTTGAACGTGATGCAAATTTGTGATGACGAGTAAATGAAAATAATAATATTGGAATTATTGGGATCTGAGCTACTAGACTCGAGTGAATGATACTGAAGATTGGCGGGGAGTTGGGGAATTAACACAGTAGAAATATAGTGGTTCACCAGCTCGGGAGCTCGGCTAATTCACTCTTTAATGGAGACTCTTGCTCCTTGTCCTTCAATAATGATGATTGCAAGAGTACAATGACTAGTTTTTGCCTCTAGGGTTCTCCCTTTTTCCTTGGGGGCGTTACATAGTATTTATAGGGCTGTTCCCTATTCAGTGGGATCGTAGCCAAAATTCTTGCCCTTACTTCGTGAGATTCTCCCTAATTCTAGGAGAAGATTTTGGTTGGTTGAAATTCGATGCCTTGATTATAGCTTCCTAACGCTTTTAGGAAGCTCTCGTGATTTTTCAGCTGTTGCCTTGGTTGTTATTGCCCTTGCTTATCTCAAAGGGACCTCCAGCTCTACTCTTCCGAGTTCTGTTCGTCTAGTTTGACCTCCTGGGATGAGCTGACCTCCTTGGCTGAGCTGACCTCCTGAGCTGGCGTTTGGGATTTATTTTGAGGTATCATTAGTTACCCCCCCAGCCCTTGGCCAAAGCGAGCTTGGGCATGGGCTGAGTTGCTTTTACCTTGGACCAGACCTGCGCCTAGCTGACCTTAGCCTGCATGTGAGATGCACGTGGGAGGGGTTTTTTGACGGTAGCAGCAATCATGGCTCCCTTGGTTCCCGCGCATGCCTCATCTCATGTCTGTCAAGCCTTAAATGCTCAAAACAGCTAAAAGAAAACGAACAAAACTACCGTTCATCTTCTACGCTGTTCACCTTTGTCTCCGACTCTTTCTCTCTGTGATTTCTGGGCTTTCCTTCCCGCGATTCCCTTATTCTTTGCTCTAGACTGTGCTTTCTGGGTTCGACTCGAAGTCCTGCTTTGTTCCTCTCCTCCAATTTTGTTCTTTGGTTGCTGTTTATTGCTCTTCTTCCCTGTCTAGGTACGCTTTCTTATGCCCCTTTCTCTTTCTGTTGCCTTTCTTCACTCTGGATCCTTCGACTTCGAGGTGGCCATTGTTTTTCTGAGTTTTTCGGTTCTTTTCTTTTGGAATCGCGATCGTTGCCTATCTCCCCTTCCCCGCTTTGTGGATTGGAACTCCATTGTGCGAATTCTTACTGTCGGGAGGTACAGTGCTGACTCTAGGGTTATTAGGGGGTGTTTAGTTAGTATTCCTCCTTTTTATAATTCTTTCGATTTGCCTTTCTCTTTGCCAATCATGTCTGCCTCCTTTAGAGCAACTCCCTCCTCTGTTTCCCTCCTAGGCGACAGGTCTGCCGAGAGAGATTCTGATTTAGGAGATGTAGGTGATGAGATTGACAATTTCTCCGGTGTTGAGGCTGTCGATACTAAGGTGGACTCCAGGGAACTCCCCTTATCTTCCTCTCATGTACCTCCTAGTGTTGACAAGGGTAAGGACAAGGTGAGTGAGGTTGGGATTCCTGATAGTACAGCGGGTATGGGGGCTGCCTTCAGGCATGCTGAGCTTGTGGGTCCCAGTAGGGTGGATCTTATTCTCATGGAAGCTCTTAGTGCTCGTTTTGGTTTCCCCCTGGTGTTCAACACTGGTGTCCGGATAAATTCACCCTATACGTTGCCCAAGTGCACAAAAGAGTTTGTTTCTTTATGGCCGCTTTCGAGAATGACCTTCGTTTTCCTATGCACCCCTTCATCAAAAATGTTCTGCAGCACCTCAATGTCTGTCCTGCTCAGCTTTCTCCTAACTTCTGGGTGTTTTAGTGGGTCTTTTAGTTTTCTTTAAGAAGCATGGGCTTGGGACTCCTACCATTTCTTTGCTTATGGACCTTTTCAATGTCAAGCTTACCTCGACTGAGGGCTTTCTATATGTTTCTAGGCGGACCTCGTCTAGGCAGATCATCACACCCCTCCCGAGCTCTCATAAAGGCTGAAAAAAAAATTTCTTTTTCGTTGGGGGTGTCAACTGGGAATACAACCCTGCTGATAAAATAGACACTCTTGGGATTCCTAGAGCCTGGTCAGCCCCAGATAACTTAGGTGAGTTCTTGCTTGACTGAACTGTGGTTTGAAGATTTATAAGTTGTTTTCCTAACCTCTGCATTTTTGGTGTTCCACCTTTCTTAGGCATTCGACGTGAACTCAGCGCCGAGGACAAACGGGTGAAACTGAAGTTGGCTAAGTGTAATCCAGAGAGGTACTCTGAGCTCCTTAAGCCTTGGGAATTAGAAAGGTTGGGATTCGGCCCTCCTCCAATCCCATTTTCCTTTATTCGACCTGAGGGTGTAAAAGGTAATGTTCTTTCACTTATTTGGTTTCATTGTTTTCCTCCCTTTCTTTTTCCTTTTGACTAACCAGCTTAAGTCAAATCTCTCAGGGTCTTCTACGATGAAGCCTACCCCTGAGATGCTCCAAGCTAAGGTAGAGCTATTGAAGAAGAAAAGCAAGGGTGGTACCAAGCGCAAGGCTGAGGGCAGTTCTGGTGGGAGCCCAGTTACTCGAGCTAAGGTTCAGAAAATAGGTACTTCCTCTACCTTTGTCCAGAAGGCTCCACCATCCCCCCTACATGCTTCACCAGCCTCAGGACCTCCTTTTCCCCAAGGGACCCGACCTGCCACTGAAGATGCTCTTGGGCGAGACCGGTCCTCCCCTTCTGCCTCTGAAGTTAAGAGGACCTTGGAGACTGTTCGCACTCTCCCTGGTTGTGCTATTTCTGTATCAACCAAAGAGGTCTCCCAATCTCTTCCCACAGAATTCGTGGTAGGCAAAGGGGTCTTACCGAAGTCTGAGAATTTCTTCATTACTGACGTGAAGTGTGCTGCAGAGGCCATTGCCTCTATTATCCCAGAGTCTGACATTGATGCGACCACTTCTGTACCCCTGGGAACCTGTGTTTCCACTGCGCTGTATGGTTGTACCTCGGTGAGATTCTAATTTATCAAATTTTTTCTTTTTCCTTTGGTTGTCCTACGCTCTTCCTTTTATACTAATTTTTCACGCTTGTCTTCAAATCGCCATTCAAATAATCAACTTGTTAAAGCGAATCCAAGCCCTGGAGGGGTCAGCCAATGTTTCCAAAGCTTTTGAGATGAAGTGTGCCGATCTGGCCTTTGAGAATAATGACCTTAAGGTCCAAGTGAAGGAGTTGCAAGAGCAAGTGGAGCAGCAGTCTTCCTTTACCAAGTCTAGACAAGAGGAGCTCAGCAAGACTAAGGAAGACCTCCGGTCAAAAATCGATGACTGGATAGAGGAGAGTCGGAAGTCCCTTAATGCTCTAGCTTCCTTCAGGAACATGAAGAGGGAGTACGAGGTGCTAGCAGAGGCCAATGATGCGGTCAGGGAGGAGTTAGGGGCTGCCAGGGAGGCACTGGAGGTGCGAGACATTACTATCCAGAAAAAGGATGAGCTGATTGCCCAACTAGAGGATGACGTCCTCACCAGGTGGGCAAAAGGGTGGATTTCTTTCCAGGGTATAACTGAAAAGACTTATCCTGAATTGAACTTTGACTTTTCAATACCCCCTGAGGAAGAGGCCGAGGGGTCCAATGAAGAAGATGATGATGCTCATGTTCCTCTTGTTTCTGAAGATGTGCCTATAGACTCTGGAGGGCTCATTCCTCTAGTTGGGATTTCAGCTCAAGATACTTCTGCCTCCTTAGGCATCTCTACTCCCCTGGCTGCTGAGCCGGCTTCTTCCCTCCCTGCTGAGCTGGCCACAAGAGCCTTGGTTGAATCTGAGGTCCCTAACTCTTTGCCTGCTCTTGGCCCTCATGAAATTTCAATTGTTGCTGTGCGAGAGAGGTCACTTGCTGAGCTGGAAAGCCCTTCTTCTATTCCTTGTGCTGAGACATCAGCTAATGCACTACAAGTCCCTTCATCTACTCTCCTTTCAGAAACTTAGGATTTGTAGCTTTGAGCTAATTATCTCAAAATTATAACATTTTGAAACGAAAAATTGTAGTATTTTGTATCTTTAATTTATAGCTTATAGCTCTTCTTTCCCTTTGCTTTCCAACTTGTTGCTTTATTTTATCATTTATCAAATATGATATTCCTCAACTCTTCCCCCTTTGCTTCAGGGGGTCATTCAGATTTCCTTGAAGTGAAAAGGTTAGGAATAACTGTTGATGTGCCTAGCTGAGCTTCCAGCTCCTCACTCTGTTTCTCTCCGAACTCCA